GAATCCCGGCTAGCAACGCTAGAATAAAAACACTCACAACTAAACTGACCAACCACACAAACCACAAAACAAACTACAAGACCCCAAAAGGGTAATACCCGAGTGTCGGACCCCAACAGGGTAATATGAGATTTACGTGATGTTAAATTGGAAATGTATAATAAATGTTTAATTCTATTTAAAATATTTATTTATGAACATTACTTAGATATAGCTTTGTAGATAGTGGCGGACACAGACGTTTAGGACAACGCGGCACAAACTACAATTAACGGTCAACGCCAAAAGTCAACGGTCAAATCAATATTTAACCAACTAAAAAAATAAAAAGATTAAATTTTGAGTACACATTGTTTCTTATGTAATAGCTAGGACTCAGTGACATCCACATTTTTAGAATAAGGACACATTTGATCTAATCCCTATATATTACTCATATATACTAGTACAACACCTGTGTATTACACGGGTGCTTGCTAATTTTTTTCTTAAAATCTAAAATTAATGAGAAAAAGTAGTTTGAAAATTTAAATACTTTTTATAAAAATATATATATTATTATATATTTATTATGACACTTTTTATTTGTGCAACTTACTTGTGTTATATTATACTAATTTTTTTTAACTTACAATATATAACTACATTACATATAAATATATCAATTGAAAAATAATTTTATTTTTTAATGAATTTCAATAAATATTATTATTTTTTATTATTATAAAGATAAATATAATTTATTTATTTCATATATATACAATATGGATGTCAAATCGAAGATCATCAAAAGATGATTAATTTGATATATTATATATGTAAAACCGATAAGAAATACAAAAGTTATCAACTTTTAAAATACATTTATAATTCAATAGCTTATTGAAGGAAACAAATCAAAATTCAGGGATATATTAGTCACTTAGTACTTCACTATGTAAAATTACAAAGAATTAAAGGGTTATATTAGTAAAAGTGATATTAAAATACCTAAATTAGCTAAATAATATTTATGGAATACCCGAACCTAGATTATTAATTATTAATATATCAATATTATTTATCCAAACCTAATTACGAAGCATGATTCTTCGACAAATAGGATTCCGAAGCACCAGAAGCAGCCACGTAGGCTCAGCGCATTCTGAAATTATATATAGGGAGGATTATACACATTATGTATAATAATTATTTTTTATGTATTTTGGAGTGGAAAGGAAATAAACAAGAATTAGAGTATAGCATAAACATAAATTCCACAACTTAAAAAACAACATACTATTAAGGTTAAATAATTTTATACATTTCATTTTTTTTTTGTATAATAATTATTAATAATATGTATTTTTTACGTCAATATAATAATACATTTATACATACAACATATATATATTATATTACACAAAAATTTACAGGGACCTGTGCCCCTACGGGCCCCTATGTACATCCGCCCCTGTTTGTAGATATGAATCAAAAGTCCATTAGGTCATTAACCATGTATAAAGGGCTGGCTCTGGTTCAGAAGGCTTCACCCTCGAAGCCGATGCGCACCTGTGATCCGCGTATGGTGTCGAACCCATGGTAGTAATTCCCGTTGTTTCTCCCTGTCGAACACGAAGGTTGAATGCCTTACCTCCATGGTATCACCCCATTCAAATTCATGGAAAGACATATATGCAGCAACCACACACAGAATATTGAAGTCACCACGGGGACCAGAAAACAACATATATTTGCAAACAAAGGTCGCAACAAATTTCCGTGGGAGAAAAGCTCGGGCCTGCGCAACAGAAAAACAACCAATTCTTCTAGCAGCTGAATTTTGATACATGGAACATGATGGAATTCCTCTAGCCCCGGAGGTTCCTCATCGAGTGGACCGTCGTAGAGATCGTCCACTTCGTCGGTAAGACGCTCCTCCACCTCTTCGGGTCCTTCATCAAACACAGGCAGACCATCGTACAATAGCCCGTCAACTTGCTCTTCATCGAATTTGAAAATGTCATCGCGAAACGGGCCCTCCCATTGACTATATTCACAATCAAGTCCTCAATCGTGTCGGGCACGATAACCGCCGACGAAGTCGCCATCCTTAATGCCGTTCAGAGGTGGCGGGGGACCGCTTCCGGGGCGCCCCGACATGGCAACGTCCCCCACAACCGCCTTTGTCTCCCCCGCGAAAGCCACGGCCCACAGCTCCATCGCGGTTCGTTTGCAATTCCGAAACAACCATGTTGTTAAGCGTCAAATGCAAATCCTCTATCCCCGTCGAAAGATCGGCAAACCAATCCATGAAACGCACGTCCAACTCTTGAAATCGGTAGTCAATTTGTTGAAACCGACCGTTGAAGATTGCATCACGTTGTTCGTTTGCGGCATCTTGTCGTCCCGACGACATCGCGAATCGTACTGACTGCTGATACCAACTGATGTAGGGGAAGAGTACGAATGGGAAGGATAAAACGAGTAAACGAGATACTCTCTCGTAAAACAGGCAAAACTCACAATATCAATTCATATTTTATTCATAATCAACTGCCTAAAACAATATATGATGAGCCATTTAAATAAGACTCCAAAACTTTATTTCTAACTTGTCCAGCAATACAACATCTCTAATAATATTATTTATTTTCTAACTTATTATCTAAAATAATAATAATAATAATAATAATAATAATAATCTACTCCAGTGACATTCAAGATCTACTCAATTTATCACGATATATTTGTTTTATCAGTTTCCGTGTATATATCAACATCTACAAAAGTATGAATGGATGCTTTTTGCATGAGTTTGATTGATGTGGTTATGTTGTCAACGAAGTTGATTC